AAAAGTAGATCAGAGACATATTTATAGTAATTATGCAGGCAAATTTGCCTGCAAATCTCTACCAATTAAGAGATAGTTCTTAATAGGGGATAACTACTGACACAGCAACACGTGATTTATCGCCTTATCGACAGGGGATAACTACTAACACAGCAACACGTGATTTATCACCTTATCGACACAGCGATGATTGACATAAGCACCCTAAATTTTTGACCAATAATATTTTAGAAGATATTTGGTAAAATATTTAATAGTTATCAGATATTTTAGAATATTAAATAAATATCTGAGATTCTATTTTTAACAAGATCAGAACTTTATTGTTACAAGCTTATCGTGATACGTATATAAAAGGCAAATTATCTCTTTAAATACAAAAACAGAAATAACAGAAATGAGCACTTTTGAGAATCCAAATAGTTGTAGTTTTGAGTTTGAGGAAATTGATGAAACCAGCAAATATGAGGTCGAATTTAATTGTGAAAGTGAGATTGAGTTTGATAGTGGAGATAGTGAAATCGAAATTGAAGTTGAGGAAAAATATAAAGTTAAATTTAATGAAAAAGAGACTACAGAAATTTGTATGTTAAATATAATGAATTAAAAAAAAAATAATACATCATAAAGATGTTTTTTTTTCGATTCTTTTTTTTTTCTAAATAAGAAATCTGTATACTAATAATTTTTTTTTTTTTACTAGCTAATAAAATGTTTGTACAAGATTATACAACAACAAAAGATATTCTTAATACTGCACAGGAAATTGCCTGGTATCTTGAATTTGCAGTAACAATTAAAAGTAGTGGCCCTCGTCATTTTCATCTTCAATACAAATGTGGTGGCCAACCTCGTAATACTTCAAATCTGACAGAAGAAACATGTAAAAGAAAGAGAATAAGTAAACGTTGCAGATACCCATTTCTTTTAAAAGCAGTTTTAAAAAATTTTAAATGGCATATTAATGAAATAACAGACAAGCACAATCATTCTATAGTTAAGGATGAGAGAATTTTTCATGAATATCATCAATTAACACGAGAAACAAGAAATACGGCTATCCGAATGTTAAAAGCAGGGGCAAAACCTAGTATGATCTATGAAGCTGTTAGGGACGAAGATGGAAAACTAACTGCAACTAGAAAAGACATAGCTAATTTAAGCTTATGAATTAATTCTCTAGAGGAAACTGTTTCAATGGAGACACTGATAATTGGCAAGGAGGAAAGAGAATATATAGTGCATCGTGAAAATTATAAAGGAAAGTTTTTAATATTTTATATTAGTATACAATTATTATCTATATATCTATATATTAATAATATAATATTGATTTAATATAGATGGTCATCTAAAACATTTATTTTTTTGTCATACTAATTCGGTTAAAAGTGCAAAATGTTTTTCAGAAGTAGTTTTAATTGATGCCACTTACAAAACAAATGTTTATAAATTACCATTTGTAAACTTTGTTGGCATTGGTAATCTTGGAGTTAATAAATTGCAAACTTTTGGCATTGCTGGAGCTTGGATTTCAGATGAATTAGAAAAGTCATATCTATGGATTATCGAATAGCTTGCTTCCCTTGTATTTTTTGATGTTTTTTCTTTCACATTTGTAACTAACAATGAGGCTGCACTTATAGGCACTCTTAGAAGGATTTTTTTGAAAGCTGAGAATCTTTTATGCTCCTGGCACATTCTGAATAATTTTAAAAAAAATTTGAGAAAACATTTTAATAATGATTCATTTTGTAATATTAGGGCAGTGTCATTTATCACCTGATTTTTTTTTATCAGAGGCATACCCCCCTCCCCCCTTCTTATTATATATTTAATCAGGTCTTTATATATAATTTTAACTTTTTTACCCCCCCTCCTAAAAAATCACCTGATTTTTGTTACTCTCCTTATTAAAATTGTTGAATGTTTTATTTACTCAAGAAACTATGAGATATTAAGTTTGGCAATTACTGACTACCAGAAACTGGCATTATTGAGTTCAAATGCGAATGAAGTAACAAAATATCTTGATAGGTAAGTGGTTTAATTTTTTTAAATTGAAGATAAAAATCGATTTTAAGATTAAATATAAAATTGATTTTAATTTAATACATTGTGCATTTTAAAAATTGAAGAATGATGAAAGTGAAAGAAAAATGAGTAGGTGTCTATACAAGCAAAATCATATACCTTGGCGCAACAACAACACAACGTGTTGAAGGTGCACATTTAGCTATGAAACATGCTATTGAATCTACAGGAAGCTTAATAAAGGCTTTCAGTTCTTTGGATAGATGGCTACGTTTATACTATGAAGAGAATTTACTACAATGTGAAAATAAAAGTATATGTATTGATTCGTTGTTAGCACAAGATGATAAAGAACGATTAGAGCCACTTTTGAGAAGAGTATCTCAATTTGCGCTTAATAAAATTAAGAATGAACTTCTCAGTGCAACTGTATATGAAGCTTGCTTGTGTGAATTACGTGTCAATTATGACATACCTTGTCATCATATGCTTCCAACAAAAGGTTCTATTATGTTGTCGAGCATTTCAAAAAGATGGTTGTTATTTCCCAATCAAGATCAACCTAATTCTAGTCACATAATTCAAAACATAACTTCAGTTAATTCTGATAGCTTTTTTTTACTCAAGTCTAAGCTTTATAATATCAAAACATGATACATAGATTTTTTAGATGAACAGCAAAAAACTGCTTTTTTAGATAAACTTGATGATGTTTTAGCAGTTCTAGAAATTAAACTTTCGGATATAAAAATACCAGAAAAAATTATAGAAAAAGATTACCCTTCTGGAACCAAACGACTACCAACTGCATTAGAGCGTATAGAACAAGAGAAAAAAAAGAAAAAGAAAGTTGACAATGAAAATAACAAAGTCAAAAAAGTAATTTCTTCACAAAGAAAAAAGCTTAAGAATGTTGAAAAAGAACTAACTAAAAGCACTAGCTTTTCTTAAATTATTTCGGCACTTCATATCGAAGGTAATATTAAAAAAAAAAAAAAAAAAAAAACTAATTATTTTATTTATACAGATCAAAGCTCAAAGATTTTATTAAGTTATTGTATTCCTGCAGATGATATAGATCAGATACACAATCTATTAAATGATGGTAATTGTGGGTTTCGCACTCTTGCTATTGCTATTAGAGATAATGAAGAAAACTGAGATTTCATTAAATTAGCAATAAATAATCAACTAAATAAGCGAATGGAGATTTACAAAGATTGGCTGGGCTATAACACTAATTTACTTAAACAGATATTAGAGTTCCAAGCATCACCTTGTCATTCTTTATTTTGGTTTATATCTTCTAATTGCGCTCAACTGGCCGCCAACACTTTCTCTGTTCCTATCGCTATTTTTGATGATAAAAACGAACAGAGCATGTTATTTTTTTCATTAGAGACACCACCAGTATATCGAAGAAATCTGATCATATTACATTTTATAAATGGAAACTATATTGTATACATTAGCATAAAAAATTATACAAAAATTAATTGGCCAGTGGTTAATGTTCAGCATATACCAATATGCCACAAGTATGATCTTGAAGACCACTGGTCCAAACTTTTTGTATAAAGTTTGAAATTTTTATTATGTATATACGTATGTACTATGGTTGTATATTAGAATCCCGACACACAAAATCCCGACATACAAAATCCCAGCAACAAAATCCCGATATACAAAATCCTGACAAATTAAAATTCTAAAAATATTAAAATTAGGAATTTAATTTGTTAGGATTTTGTGTATTGGGATTTTGTTGCTGGAATTTTGTGTGTTGGGATTTTGTGTGTCAGGATTCTGATATACAACCATGTACTATGTGTAGAAACTATCATTATCTCACATAGCAGGCTTGTATATTATTTAAACTAATCGTAATATGCATAAAATTGTTAAAAATGCTGTGTATATTTATAAAGTAAATATATATACATACATACTTAAGATGTATGTACTGGTTGTATACAAAAAACATAATATTGATATAGAAGGTAATATTTAAAAATGATATCATATTATGCATACGTATGATATTTCTAATTTTATTTGGCCTTTTTCTTATATGTATCCCTGAAGGCAAAAATTTTGGTGCAGCTTCAGATATTTTGAATTTTGTCAAATTGAGATAAAATTTTTTTTTTACTTGAATTCTATGCATTCACAGAACTCAAATAAAAAAATTTATCGAATTTGGCTTGGTGGTTGTCAAGATATCTTCATTTTAAGTTCGAAAAAATTTGGCGGCCTTTATCTGATAGATATTTTGAATTTTGCTAAACAGATATTTTGATAACCACTAAGCAAAATTCAACAAACTTATTTATTTAAAGAATAAATGCTCGTCCTGTGGGGTGCAGAGCAATTAAATTTAGTATAGCATACTAATCTGCAAGGTGCGAAGCAATTAAATCTAGCATAGCATACTAATATAAAATCGGATTGGCTAAAACTGCATAATTTA